CCCTACTCCTCCTCCATGACCTTCATTCGATCTCCATCACCTCCTCCCCCTACTCCGTCACCTTCTCCCCTCCTCCTCCCCCTACTCCATCACCTTCTCCCCTCCTCCTCCTCCTCCTCCTCATGCCCCTACTCCTCCTCCATGACCTTCATTCGATCTCCATCACCTCCTCCCCCTACTCCGTCACCTTCTCCCCTCCTCCTCCCCCTACTCCATCACCTTCTCCCCTCCTCCTTCTCCTCCTCCTGCCCCTTATCTTCCTCCATCACCTTCATTCGATCACCATCACCTTCTCCGCTCCTCCTCCTCCTCCTCCTCCTCCTCCATCACCTTCTCCCCTCCTCCTCCTCCACCTACTCCATCACCTTCTTTCCTCCTCTTCCTCCTCCTCCATGACCTTCTTCATTCGAACTCCATCACCTTCTCCGCTCCTCCTCCTCCCCATATTCCATCACCTTCTCCCCTCCTCCTCCCCCTACTCCCTCATCCTCCTCCTCCTCCTGCCCCCTACTCCTCCTCCATGACCTTCTTCAATCGATCTCCATCATCTTCTCCGCTCTTCCTCCTCCCCCTCCTCCCCATACTCCATCACCTTCTCCTCTTCCTCCTGCCCCCTACTCCTCCTCCATAACCGTATTCATTCGATCTCCATCTCAGGGGCAGGTACGTTTATGTAAACACAGAGTACATATATGCTGAGAAGATACAGGTCTGGTATACTTGTGTATACATATACATACCTCGGGTACATATCTGTAGCACCTGATACGACAACGACCCCTCAGCTACACTAGGCCAAATTCAACGATTATTTGTTCTAATAATTTTATGATCGAGAGAACCGCGAGCACACCTAGATTTGTCCGCACGCAGACGTTATAACTGCGCTTTGCTAATCTGAGGGTGCGTGTTTACTGGGGTCTGCTCGGACTAGCCTAGATAAGAATGAAGTGTGTCCTGTACCACCAGTAATTTGCCAGAACAGGTTTGGTAACACTTTACGGTACGTGCTGAGATCGTTGCTGGAATATTCCTTACTGATCGCTATCGGCACTTATTATACAATTTTTCTTCGGTTAGTTAAACTATACTGGTTTATAGCTATAATAAATTCAGAACAAAGTAGACAAACGGGCTCAAGGATAGAAAGCATGTCCAGTAATAAATATCATCCTATCCTATAACCGTCCTGATCATTTGTAACCCGCTCCAGCGTAATACGGACTAAGTCGCAAGTCATTGTTTTGAGTAATGAGCACGCACACATGTCAATGCTGAAAATGGCCTACCTGGACAAAAATGAGATTTTTACAAAAATAAGTTCCTAGGTGCATATTTAATCCGGATATATAGGTTCAGATATCTCTAGATTATTATGGTCATTTTTAATTGAAACAAAACCGCTCATCCCCGACTGGGCCCCTTCCCCGGAACGCTTTATCTCAAAAGCTGCATATTCTGGAATAAGTTCCGATTTTCAAATTGCTGTAGATCGGTCAATTCTTTAGATATAGCCAAATATTATATATCATTTTAAAGGTAATTAAATGATTGATTCAGATATGCACATAACTCAATTTGTAGAATTTCCTACTTAATCCTGGTTTTGCTGAAGCGGGTCATTTTATCCTTGAACCGACAAACGCCCCGGGCCAACACGAATTACTGGCACCGGCAGTTTCAAGCGTGCAAATCAGCAGTGCATAAAACGTTAAAAGAAAAATTCATTTTCACCTACATGACATGATAAGAACCTATCTATAAAGACGACCAAGAAACCTTCTAAAAGATCAAATCTAAAGTCTCTAGATACATAAGCATGAGAATAGAATTCAAAAACACCGTGAGAAGGATATCCGGAAAAGGGCAAAGACATACGGGAGCAATATCCTCACATTTATGATTATGATTTCAGATTATGATTAAGCGATATGCTGAGCGTCAGTGAAACGAATGAATTCGTGAGGTCTAGCAAAAAAAAAACTAATGCAATTAGTATTCATGACGGTGCACTTTTCCAGCTCAGCCTGAACGTTCACACCTTCAGCTAAAACCATATGCTAAAACTAATGAAAGTTTTGGAAGTTGTGTTTTGTAATTGTATTTTTACCCAATCAGAGACCTTGTTACACATGACTTAACCGCGGTTAAATTATGTGTAACAATGCCTCTGATTGGGTAAAAAGGGCTATATAATTTTACCGCGGTTAAATTATTTCTACCGTGGTAAAAATAATCATTTCTGAGTACGACGGCCGCATGGTGTATCTTCCTTCGTGCATGCGTGTTGATTATTGCTGTCATACAATAACAATTAAGTCTCATAATCTCCACTAAGATATCAGTGGAATATGGGACACAATTATACAAAGGAAATGTTTCTTCATTCCTTATTATAGTACAGTAATACTTTTTTACGAATTATAAATTACTAAATAACTAGTACTATGCAGCATAATTTAAATACAACAAGCAATAATCACATTTATTGTTTTATTTATACTTACTATCGCTATAACATTTTATTATAACATATTAAAGTACATGCAAATAGCCACTGGCAGCAAGAACAACTCCGCTGCAGCTACAGCACACACGACGCCATTGACTATAATAACAACTTGTTATTATAGTTGTTATTATAGTTGTTATTATAGTTGTTATTATAGTTGTTATTATAGTTGTTATTATAGTTGTTATTGTAGTTGTTATTATAGTCAATGGCGTCGTGTGTGCTGTAGCTGCAGCGGACTTGTTCTTGCTGCCAGTGCAAATAGCCAACAAGCTAATAAATGAAAATTAGACCAAATGGTGGTAAGACTGAACCACCTTGTTTTAATTTGGCTCTATTCTCACTCATTCGGACGGTCAGTTGGTCTTGGTGTGTAGTTTGTGTGTGGACACTTACACTACAGTTATAAAATAACATCAATGACAATGGCGAAATCTTGTAATGATCAAAATATAATAATGTATCAACTGACGTTTACTAACATTGCTCACAACCCACATATCATCTTGAGAGGGTGTATAACTGTGAAATTATCATAACAGCATCACACATGGCAAATTTCGAGCCACTATGACTATTAATCTCAATATCCAAAATACAATTAACCTAATACTAATAGGCTTGGCACAAACAAGATACGACAGACTTGGCACAGGATAAAACCTTATAAGTAATGATAATTGCACTTAAATGACACAAATAATAAAATTAGCCGTTTCCTATATATATATATGACATACAAAATATGGGACTAATGGGCACAATTGAAAAAGTACTCATCCACATGGAACATTTGCTATTTGAATCAAGTGGCTTTTTTCACTCACCCAACCACATAGCATTATGCTATTTAGCAAATTTTAGCAAAGCAAAAACGATTATTATGCAATGATGTATGTATAACATAAATATCATAAGGACTATACCTGACAGGATCGAGGGATAATACATCAACTGTAGTACATAGTTCTCAGATTTCTAATATTATGTTAAGAATTATATATCATAATATTACCAAAGACCACTGAACATTGTCCATGGTTAATTAATACTTATCACTGAATTGAGGATTGGATGGTTGAAAATCTCATGATTTGACGCATCAAATTGTTGACGTATCAAAGTTACCTGACAACTGGAATCTTCTTTAGATAACAATTGGTCGGTAAGATTGGAAGAACTAATCAAAAACTGCAGTTTTCCTACCTTCCTAGCCAGCTATATTAATGCCTTTCACATAGATGGACGTACGTCTTTTTATATGAGTACTGTCTGAGCGCTACTTGCATGCACTTGCATGTATGTGGTCTGTGTGCACGTTCCTTTCAAACAGCATTAAGCCTAACACCTCCAAAATATGCAAAAATACCAAACTTGCTAATATTTAACAGTTACAATACATGGTATACGCAACATATATATCTGAAAGGGATACTTTCCCCTAGAATTTTAGAGTATATTATGATCATAAATAATAGTATATACCAACATATTTCTATAATAACGCATTCAAGTTTGTCATGAAACAATATTGAATTTCGAAATCTTCATGTTTTCGGCGCTGACATGGCACCCGTGATTGTGCTACCACCCTTAAAAAGTTGCGCATTTGCAAATTTATTTTGCATGTTACAGACCGAGGGGTAATCACAAAAGTGCAATTATATTTATACCTAAATGCTATTTAACCGAATGATATTTATTTTAGGACAAATTTGTCCATATTATAACTGAAACTAAGTGTCGCTTAT